CGGTTTACGTGCGGCGAAGCCGCAAATTTCGGTAAAAATTTCGCCTAAATTCAAGGTGACATTATTTGTTCCTGTTCACACAGTACTTAGTCCGATTGTGCTGAAATTTGAATCACTAATGTGTGATCTCAGTCTGAATATAATACACTATAAAACATATGAAAAGTGAACACTATAGCGCCCCCTACCATAGACATGAAACGTCAACATTGTCGGATCTGCACCAAATTTGGGAATTAAATTCTATCCATGATTACGAGCAAAAAATTATATTATGGACATGATACCATTTTCACTGTTGGCCAGCAGGGGCGCAAAGACTCAAAAATTTGGCGCCTATGGGAGACGTCCCCGTCATCTTTGTCATAGAGCCACGAAATTCGGTACACACATTCATCATGTGAAGACAAACAAAAAATATTATTATGGCCACGCCCCCTGACAAACCAGAAGGCGGCCATCTTGGATTGAAATTTCAGTCCGCGTTTTCGCTGGCGTTGCGTTTGAACGAACTCCTCTGAAGGCGCTTCACCCACAGGCCTGAAAATCACCGTACATCATCTACAGAAGTGGAACATCTAAAGTTAGCTGATTTTTTTTGATAACTGTCACGGTTTACGTGCGACGAAGCCGCAAATTTCGGTAAAAATTTCGCCGAATTTCAAGGTGACATTATTTGCTCCTGTTCGCACAGACTTAGTCCGATCGTGCTGAAATTTGAATCACTAATGTGTGATCTCAGTCTGAATATAATACACTATAAAACATATGAAAAAACACTATAGCGCCCCCTACCATAGACATGAAACCTCAACATTATCAGATCTGCACCAAATTTGGGAATTAAATTCGAATAATGCCTAGAAGCAAAAACTTATATTACTGACATGGGCATTTTTCATGGTTGGCCAGCAGGGGGTGCAAAGAACATTTAATGGCGCACTATGTCATTTTTCCTTTTGCGAGTGCGACTTTGCTGGTACGGCGTTTGCGGGCACGGCGTTTGAGGGATGCGCCGTTTGCGGTGCGCTGTGATTGCGGGCGTGGCGTGGGTTGGGCGAGGGCCGTTCGACGCCGCTTGCGGCTTTAATTATTATTATTTTTCTCCTTAATCATATTGCTTTGACGAGATGCTCAGACTGGGAAGAGTTTATCTTATGACTAAACAATGAAAAAGCGAGGTCATCTTACAAAAAAAGTCTTTTAAAATACAAGCAACACAGAGTTAGTCTGTGCATGAGGTAAAATGATAAAATATGTTTATTTTGTAATTTCAAATGAGATTAAACAGGCCAGTCAGAGTTGAACAAAGAGCCAAATGTGGCCCGGAGCTCGACAAGGCCCAGGTCTGATCTGAAAAATTGCAGTACTGTATTTTTTGGATTATAAACTGCACTTAAAATCACTTAATTTTCTCAAAAATAGACAGTGCGCCTTATGTATTAATTCTGGTTGTGTTTACTAACTTCAAACAGATTTTCACACATATTCCACTGAGTCGTATCTTTAGTCTGACAGAAGCTGAACCACATCAAAGAGCAAGCTCTTTTTTTTATCACTTATAGTTTATGCAAATGAGCCATGTGGTTTTAAGTTTTAATTCTGTAAAATGTAAACAAATGTGCGCAAAGCTGCATTAAACACATTATTACTCAATGTATATTTGAGTCGTCCTTGTAGGAAATAAAAAAGTCTCAAGTCTCAAGTGTCGTCCGTTTGTTTTGTTTAATGCGCCTTAAAATCCGGTGTGCTTTATAATCTGAAAAATACGGTAAATACAATTTGATGATTATGGAATATGTATCTGTCTCTGTACCTGTATGTGTATATGTGTGAAAATATGTATTAATCAAAATATAAATATTGTAGAGGCCTTTCATTAAATATGGGCCCAGTACAGTTTAGAAAAATACTGAACGGTCATTTTTGACAAGCAGTTTACGCTACAGGCTGTTATTACTATATATAATGTTATAATGTTATGTGACCAGTTTGACAGCTTTTTTTGCCTAAGCTGAACGTTCACTCCCAAAACCAAAGGACCTGCAGCTCCTCGTGCTGCCTCAAGTCTTCAGAACGGCCTGTCCATGTATCAGAGAGTAAACACGTAAAACTTTAAGTAAATGTTGATTATAAAACAGTGTTGATTAGTGACATTTATAATATTGTTTAGGCTGTGAGTTTGAGCACAGACAGGTCAAACTTTGTAAACAAACTTTTATTTTAAACAACTTTGGGAACATTTCTGAAACATACTGATCCCTCAGATTGAACAAGGATGAATTCCAGCGTACGAGACGATATTGAACATTTCGTGACATTCAGACAGTGAACAGTGTGAGTGTGATATGAGTCCAGGTAAAAAGTCACATTTAAAGTCTTTCAGAACAATGAACATCTTTCTACCACCACTATGTGACTTTTCTGGTTTCTGGGGTCTGCCATGTCCTTGTTTCCATGAAGATGTTATTATTTTTGCTTGGAATATTTCTCAGTACAGCATTAAACATATTTATCTCGCTTTTGTTGAATTACAGGCGCTGAAGAACACAACAAAACCGTGCTGTAACTCCAAAAGTTCCATGGATGTAGATATGTTTGTGAAAGATTCTAGTTCAGCTTTAAGAAAATACCTAAATATGTTTTTCACCGAGATGTGGCAGATTATATGACTAGCTCATGAGCTATTTAACCTGTAGACACATTTTTGTAGATTTTAGAGAATTATTTGTTTCTGAATGAAGAGACGACGATCCAAGTCAGATCCAGATTAAATGCATGTATAAAATGTGAATACATTAGAGGAACAAATGCATAGCGTTCAGACATTTAAAAACATATTAAAGTGCATATGACAGGTTTTCAGATTTTCATATTCTGACTTGGTTTGGTGAAGAGTAACTGTGTTTTAAATTTATCATAATTTCACATAAGTTAAGTGGCAGTTTGTGGGAAAAAAAAAACAGAAAGTAGTATAAAAACATTTCAAAAGGAGCGAGGTCAAGAGGAAAATACAAAGTAGATAAAACTCATTGTTGCTCTTTGGGGAAGGGAAGTCAATTTAAAGATGCAAAAAAACCCAAGGCACTCACCGGTTAAAATAAAATACCTTTATTAATTTACGGCATGTCTTAATTCCTCAGGGGACAAACCGAATTCTGACTGAACCATGTGAGTTAAACACAGGAAAACCACCAACAGAACTGCTCCACCTGGAAGAAGAAGAGATTCACCTGTGGACATGACCTGAGACACGCTACAAGAGGGCAGTGTTACAACCATGGGACCCCCTGGAGTTAACATTAGTGTTTATATATTCTATTGTCTCCCACGGGTCTAACACTGCCCTCTTGTGGTGTGTCTCAGGTCGTGTCCACAGCTGAATCTCTTCCAGGTGGAGCAGTCCCAATCCGTGTGTCATTCGTTCATTCGTTTTTCAATATAAAACCAAAAATAAGAAAGTGAAAAAAACAACAGTTTTCTTCGTTATTTGTCTCCAAAACCAAAATGAAAAAACAGATAATGATTTGTTTTTTTTCAGTTTTTGATTTTGTGTTTAAATGAAGAATGGAAAAAACGGATAACGACCGTTTCCCGTTTACGTGACTTCCGTGACTGCGATACTGGACTTTTGCACTGCATACGGACTGAACCAGGACTGATCCAGGTCTGGGACCAGACCGGGACCAGACCAGGACCAGACCAGGACCAGAGCGGGACCAGAGTGGACTCCGAGTTTTGACTTTGAGCCTCCACAGGGTCTGAGCCTCAGCCTCGAGCTCCGGCCCTGCCGTGGGCACTGAGCCTCCGGTCTGGTCTGGGTCTCAATCCCTGTCTGGTCCCGGTCTGGTCCCGGTCTGGTCTCGGTCTGGTCCCAGTCTGGTCTGGGTCTCAGTCCTGCTCTGGTCCCGGTCTGGGCTCAGTCTCGGTCTGGTCCCAGTCTGGTCTCGGTCTGGTCCCAGTCTGGTCTAGGTCTCAGTCCCGCTCTGGTCCCGGTCTGGGCTCAGTCTCGGTCTGGTCCCGGTCTGGTCCCGGACCTGGATCAGTCCTGGTTCAGTCCATATGCAGCGCAAAAGTCCAGCATCACAGTCACGGAAGTCACATAAACAGGAGACGGCCGTTATCCATTTTTTCAGTTTGGTTTTGGAGACAAATAATAAAGAAAACTGTTGTTTTTATTTTTTTTATTTTTGGTTTTATATTGAAAAATGAATGAACGAATGACACATGGATTGAGTCCTGTTGGTGAGTTTCCTGTGTTTAACGCACATGGTTCACTCAGAATCAGAAAGGCCATAGGCTGAAACGTGTCGGGACTTTGTAAATTGTCCATTGACACATGCCGTAAATTAATAAAGGTATTTTATTTTAACCAGTGAGTGCCTTGTTTTTTTTTTTGCATCTTTAAAACATGAAGTAGCTCTGACTTAAAAAACAAAATCCACCTGCCTTTGTCATCAACACTCAAAATTCATATAAAAAAAAACTGCAGGGTCAATTCACACACACAGATTTATTTTTATTTTTTGACAGATTTACGATTTATTTAACAAAATAAAGGTGTTGTCAGTTATTTGTATGAATCTGGTCACAATTATTACGTAATTTAGAGAGATTTTGGCTTTTGTTTACATTAAGTTTGCTCGGTAAAAGTTATAATTACCTTTACTTATGTCACATCTGCTGCCCGTTTTTTGTAAAATCTTAATATATAAAATATATATTTGCATTAACTGTGTTCAAATGAAAAAGTACTCTAACCTGTCATATGCACTTTAAGTTAATTTGAGAAAATGGACGACGCAGAGAGGTTGGGTTTGCTAAAAAGACGATGATGCAAAAACTGCAGATTCAGCACTTAATTATTCACTTTTTTTAAGCTTCCAGTTTCTATAAAATCAAACTGTTTTTAAGATTTTGGAAAGAGAAAGCTGTAGAGACGCGGTTTAGCTGTTGATTGCTGAAATCATGGCGCATTATAGTGAACAGTCGGAGTGTTTGTGGAGGTCAGGCGGGCGGGGGCGTGAGGTGCGAGTGTCTCTTCCCTTTCGGAGCCTCTGTTCGACGGCTTCACTGCAGCACAGACGGGGGGGGGCCCTGGTTCTCTGGGTCCGATGGGTCCCTGAAGTAAGAGATGGTCACTGGAGGAAGAGGAGGAGGAACTGAGACGGTCGAGTACACGTGATTCTGAAAGAGAGCAAAACGAGAAATAATAATAATGCGTTGAGATGATATACTTTTATTTCAATCCCATCTCAAACACGTCAGCCCCTCACACTTACAGATCGGCAAATATGTTTTAAATAACCGCGCATTACTTTCCAAGAATAAAAGACAGAAACTTACTTTTTTTCCTTTGAAAGATAAGACTTGATAGCCAGTCTGGTGTCACCTAGTGCCTCCACTCAATTTCATTTCTCTCCAGCGACAAAGTCAGGAATCTCCATGTCATCGTAGCGTTCCGTTATGTTCGGTTCATCGACATTTCCAACAACCCCTCAGTTTCCATCGTTTCCCCACTGACACACAACTCAGAGCGCACCGAGTACATGCCATTAGAAGAGACGAGGCGCCAAACTCCAGATGATTCCAAACAGCACATAAAAGATAGAAACTTACTTTTTCCTTTGAAAGATAAGACTTGATAGTCAGTTTGGTGCCACCTAGTGCCTCCACTCAATTTAATTTCTCTCCAGCGACTAGGTCAGGAATCAGAATACACTAGACGATTTGTCACGACCAAACACAAGCAACTGGTTAAATTAAAAAAGTACCGTATTTTCCGGGCTATTAGACGTGCTCTTAAGCCTCCATCCCCATCAAAAACGACCGTGCACCACAATCCAGAGTGGCCTAAACACGAATCCACTCAGGTGTCCCAGCACGACTTCAGTAAACTACAAAGCTGCACCACCCGCAGAACACACAAACACACATGGAGCAGACAGCGACCGCACAGCGAAACACACCCACAGACACACTCATCACTCCACGCCGACGAGGAACGGAACGGAGAAACAAACCGAAAAAGCGAGCGCAACGTGCCGCTTCTAGACACAACTGAACAACTGAGTCACTGCGAACACGCCGACAATCCGTTGGTCCCAGACAGCACCCTCCCTACACGCCACAACTGAACAAAGCCCAGAGTCACCGTGAACGAACAAACAAACAAAACCACTCACCCATCACACTGTTGGGTTTCCTTTAAAGTCCCACACGGTTTATTTGTGAAAAAAGTTTGAAAATAGACCATTTAATGACAGTGCACCTTATAATCCAGAGCGACTAATATAGTGCGGAAAATATGGAACCTGCCTACTGTCGAGCGAACGAATCCTAATGCTGCGAGGTCACACGGTTTACACCAAGTGAAACCATCTGATGAATCGGGCTAAAGACTTGTGGCTTTCTGAGCATATCTCCAGCATTATCCTCCGTCAAACGCTACGTAATGAAGTCAGGAAAAACGAGAGTCCAAGAGGAGCTTTGTTTTCCACCAAACTCAGTCGCTCCGTCCATTTTGATTGTTCCAAACTTTACCAAAGAGTGCAGTGAGTCAAAATGGTCGATGCTCTGAGCGTCTGTGTTTGTTTTGATTGAAGAAGTTGCTCTAAATGCAGAGATTTCTCAAATAAATGGAAAATTTCACATCTTGGTTCCTTGTTATTTTTATTTTCAGGTTTATTTGAGTCCAAATGTCCAAATCCAAATGTAATAAACTCCATGGAAATGCAGGAAGTGATGTGGCTCTGTGACCTGGACCTGACTCCAGCTGTTTCCATGACCTGCACCAGTCAAGTCATGGGGCCACTGCACTTTTTTGTTTTGAGGCAATAAGGAGATTTTTTGTTTATTTACAGACTTCATATTCTGCACTTTTGTAGTTAAGGCCCTAAATTAAACTTTTTTTTTTTATGTCCAAAGTTGTTTATATACTGTATGTTTGTTGTGTGTTTTATATGAAAGAGTGTGAATTTAATTTTTAGGTTTTTTTTTTGTCGTTTGTATTTCTGGTTCTGTAGTTTTTATTACACAACTACACCAGATATTAAATGTGCAATAACAGGTTGTAGTAAAAAAAAAGGATGTATAACACTTCATTAGGAGATAAAAAGGGGAGTTTTAATAGCAAAATTAAGAAAAAAAAAGCCAGCTGCCGAGTTCCAAGCAGAAAGGAAGTGAGCACGGCGGCGCTTCTAGATCCATCGACATCGGCTCCGGTTCACTTCACATTGAAACATCGTCAGCGTTTTCTCTATAACGGCTCGTCTGTGGGCTGTGACTGTGAGTGAGTCTACGGCTTCAACTCCTACAGAACTCAGAGGTCCGACTCTCCATCAGGTTAAGTTTCACAGTGAACCTTTCATTAAAATAAGTCAAATACTACAACATTTCAAAAGTCTGTAATGTTTAAGAGTTATGTACCTTTCCATATTCGTGATGAGGCACAAAGCGAGGGACTCTCTCTGCTCTGAGCGGGTACACGGGGTAAGTCTGGTACAGAGCGGGGTCAAAGTACTGACGAGGAAAACAGTCTTTTTAGTATCATTAAATTAACCAGTAAAGACACCAACATAAAAGGATAGAGTAGTGTGTTGTGTATCGAGCAGAGCCTCACCTCTGCGCTGGAGTCGTCCATGAGGGGCTGGGACACTCCCTCTGACACGAGCTGGAAGTATTCAGGCTGAGCGCACATCACCAGAGCAGCGCCGACTGGAGACTGAGAGAATGTGCAGCAAAAACAACGACAAATATAATGACAAGTGAAATCTAACTTTTTATCTCTGAACGTTGCAGCTCTTCACTGGGTTTACTTACTTCAGCAGAGTTCCACTGGTAATGGTTTGGGAAACTCTGCGGCTGAAAACAACAAACAACAAGTTTCAATCAATCAATGGAGTAAAATAGTAGTAGTAACATCTTGGTATTGGAAAGTAATGGTAGTAATCTTCTCAGGATTTTACCAGGGTACACAGTATCACCGTATTACCAAAATGTTTTAGTACGACTTTGGTAAATTAAGCTGCACCTCTGTACAGTCTGTGTGTGACCTGCAGATGTATAATCTGTGAAAAGTTCCACATGAACCATCTCCAACACGACAGAAACACAGAACAGACTGAGCATCAGCAGAACACCCCTCTGTCACAGAAAGAACACTCACATTCCACTGAGTCATGTCCAACAGAAGCTGAACCACATCAGACACACAAGGAAACAGCTGTTTTTTATCAAAGCTTTATAGTTCATGTAAATGAGTCATGTGGTTTTAAGTTTTGTTTCTGTAAAAGTTAAACAAATGTGGCGTGAAGACAAAATGTACCAGTATGGTTTTTTTTTTGGGACCATCTCTCTTGCAGTCGGACTTGCGTCTTGTCTTGGTCTCTTATGAGCGTCATGTGACGACGGAACGAAACTAATCAATGTCATCTCCCCACACAGTTAAAGAAACAATATAAACATGATGGATTAAACTGAAAATACAAACACACATTCATTTGTGCTGAGGAAACAAATGTAGGACCAATAAATTATAATGTTATATCAGGTCTTTATGCGCTGCAGATTTTTTTAATGACGGTGATGAAACTGATACTGTTGCTACAGTAGTAGTAGTAGTAGTAGTGGTAGTAGTAGTAGCAGTAGCAGTAGTAGTAGTAGTAATAGTAGCAGTAGTAGTAGTAATAGTAGTAATAGTAGTACCTGGTAGTGGTGACAGGCTGTTTGGTGGTAGACGAGCTGACGGGGCTGAGAGACCATCACAGGGGCTGGGGGCTGCACACACACACACACACACACACACACACACACGCACACACACACACGCACGCACACACAGGTACTCAGTTATATTTAACAGGAGACATTCTGCTCTGTGCAAGTGCAATTTAGAATTTGGCCACAAGATGGAGCACAAATCCAGGCTTTACAAAGTGGATATGAGTACAGGTTTGGTTATGGTTATGATTTGGACTATTCAGTTTTACAAACAGCCTCATTGTAATGGACTCATGTCTCTCTCTCTCTGATGTTAAATTTGCATTTTTTAGCAGTTTCATTAAAAAAAACGTCCAAAAGGAAAATTATCATTTAATATTAGTAACGAGATCCACTATCCCACTGTATTTGTCTAATCACACCACATATGCAGAATAACAAAAGTCATTTTACCTGCCCGCAGACACAGAATACCTATACAATCTCAACCCTGGCAGTTGTTTGAAAGAGGTGTTTTAAAAATGTATAAACAAAACTACACTGAAACTAGATCATTATTTTTACTTCAGGGACCAACTGAATATTAACACAAAACTGACTTTTGTGATCTTTATCCTCAAAAACAGAGTTGGAGTCGTGTTTGTTTCATTTACACGTTTGAGTAACTCTTTATTATGAGTCTGTCTACATCTCCAAAGCTCAAAATGCTCTGTTCAACCTTGTGATGTCATGAAGTGGTACTTTTCAAGTTAGCAGCTTCATTTTTACCTTTAGTTCAGTAGAGATCAGCTGAAATCGTCCAAATGATTCTAGTGAAGGTGTGTGGAGTTTAAAAACACAGTGGAGCACTTCCTGTATTACCACATGATGACATCACAAGGTGGAACTGAGTGTTTTCTGTTCAAAAAAAGAACTCAGCCTAAATATGCAGGGTTTGTGTGTTAAACATGAGTGAATGAAACAAAAAAAACACACAACTCCAGATCTGTTTGTGACGAGGAAACGACATTAAAACTGAAAAACAAAGTAATATTGGCCCTTTTATGTGAGAAAACCATAAGTAAAAGTTGATATTTGTTGGGCTCAGACTCACGGGGGTCCAGAGGTGTGCACTGGGACTGGCTCGTGGGTTTTGGAAATAGGCCACTCCATTGTGGAAAGTGTAGGGCGAACCAGAGGTGGTGGTCAGGTACATGGTCTCACACGACACCAGCTCAGGCTCCACACTGAACACGGACCTGTGGAAATCTACACAAATAATGAGGATATGCAAAAGTATTCACGATTTTAATAGTTACAACTCCTAACCTCGTATTTTAAACTTCAACAAACATGTTCTGAAATGTATTAATTTCTTCATTATTTGTCTCCAAAACCAAAATGAAAAAACAGATAATGATTTGTTTTTTTCAGTTTTTGATTTTGTGTTTAAATGAAAAATGGAAAAAACAGATTAAAAAAACAGACTAAACCAGGACTAAAACAGGTCCGGGACCAGACCGGAACCCGACGGGGACTGAAACCAGGACTTAGACTAGGACCAGACCGGGACCAGGACCAGGACTAAGACCAGGACTGAGATCAGGACCAGAATTGAGAACGAGACTGAGACCAGGACTAGACCAGGACCAGACTGGGACTGAGACCAGGACTAGACCAGGCCTGAGACTGGGACCAAACTGGGACTGAGACAGGGAAGAGACCGAGACCAGACCGTGACTGAGACTAGGACCAGACCACGACTGAGACCGGGACCAGACGGGGACAAACAGGGACCAAAAAGGGACCAGACCGGGACCAGACTGGGCCTGAAAACGGTTTAGTCCTAGTTCAGTCCTGGTTTAGTCTTGGTTTAGTCCTGGTTCAGTCCGTTATCCGTTTTTTTCCATTTTTCATTTAAATACAAAATCAAAAACTGAAAAAACTAATCATTATGGTTTTGTTTTTTTTCATTTTGGTTTTAGAGACAAATAATGAAAAAAAAATTGTTTGTTTTTTTTTGGGGTTTTTTTTCTTATTTTTGGTTTTATTTTGAAAAACGACTGAACAAATGACACACGGATTAAACAGGACCGTGAACGCTCATACTGGTCACAGACTCCCGAAAATGTGCCGTTTAAATAAAAAAAATATCAATACTGTTCCCTACTAAAATGACTAAACTTCAAACTAATAACTGTATGCAAAGTTTTGATCATATTTCTTTAGAATATATGCATGAAACATCTCTGTTATTTTTCATTTCCCGTCGCTGCTCAGAGCACTTTTTACTCCAGAGCACTTTGTAACACTAATAGGACAGAATCAGGGGAAAAACATTATCGCTGTGACTTACTCTCTGAGCCGACGTGTTTACGAAAAGCCTGACGAATGCAGAGTCTCCGGTCTTTAAAATAGACGCCGTTCACCTGGACGACATGAAAACACAAACACACAAACACAAACACACATTATAAAAATATTACTACGACTGTAGATACTGCTCGTTACAACAAAGTGTTTTACGTCATTGAGCAGTTTTCTCACAACTTCTGGGTCTTCGAACGTCACAAATCCATAACTGTTGGAAATAAGAAGAGTTTTTACTTCATTTACTTCCCCAAAATGTGTCTAAACTGCACAATCCTTATGACTAATTAATAAAAATAAATATAAACAACAATAGCTCTTTTTGTTAGATTAAGTCCCAAGACACTAGTTAAATGTTTGGACACACTTTGTCATTTATGTTTCTTCTTTATTTCCATGATTATTTTAGTGGTTAAATTCTCACTGAAGGCACCAAACTTCGTAAAACATGTGGAATGTAGGAAATAAAAACCAATGACTTGTCTTAGATTTAAAAAAATTTAATTAAAATCACCGTGTCATTCATTCTTTCAAGAAAATGAAAAAAAAACAAAAACTATTTTCATTATTTTGAAAAAACGGATAACAGATAATGATTCTGGGACCAGTCCTGGTCTCAGTTCTGGTCTCAGTCCTGGTCTCAGTCCTGGTCTCAGTCCTGGTCTCAGTTCTGGTCTCATTCAAGAACTGGTCCCCGTCTCAGTCCCGGTATCAGTCCCAGACTGGTCCCGGTCTCAGTTCCGGTCTCATTTCTGGTCTCAGTCCTGGTCTGGGCCCGGTCTCAGTCCTGGTCTCAGTCCTGGTCTCAATCCTGGTCTCAGTCCTGGTCTCAATCCTGGTCTCAATCCTGGTCTCAGTCCTGGTCTCAGTCCTGGTCTTAGTTCTGGTCTCATTCCCAAACTGGTCCCCGTCTCAGTCCCGGTCTCAGTTCTGGTCTGGTCCCGGTCTGTTCTGGTCTCAGTTCCAGTCTCAGTTCTGGTCTCAGTTCCAGTCTCAGTTCCGGTCTCAGTCCCGGTCTCAGTCCCGGTCTCAGTTCTGGTCTCAGTTCCAGTCTCAGTCCCGGTCTCATTCCCGGTCTCAGTTCTGGTCTCAGTTCCAGTCTCAGTCCCGGTCTCATTCCCGGTCTCAGTTCCGGTCTCAGTTCCGGTCTCAGTTCTGGTCTCAGTCCTGGGCTGGTCCCGGTCTCAGTCCTGATCACCCAACAGTCTACATCATTGAATGAGACGGTGTGTCCAAACTGACAGATTTTCAGTTTTAAAATTCACCGCTACTTCTTGTATTTTTGTATGTTTTTTCCATAAACTGTGATAAATCAGTAGCACAGGTATTACCTCACCAAATCCAGTCAGAATTAGAAAAACATGAAATCCCGTCACTTTTCAAACTGTGCTTTTTAAACCTAGACTGTATATATTCTGTGCTGTTACCATTTGGTGCGTCTGGAGCGGTTCATGATATTGACCTCGGTGACCGTCCCGCACTCAGAGAAAAGGCTCCACAGGTCGCGCTCAGACACCTGCAAAAAACAATCACACTTTAACACAATATTTATTTTATTTACATTTACAAAGGCACAACTGTGGAGGAGAGGAGGAGATCGGCTCGACAGCTGCACTCCTGGTTTAGTCCTGGTTTAGTCCTGGTTTAGTGCTGTTTCACTCTTGGTTTAGACTTGGTTTAGTCCTGGTTCAGACCTGGTTAAGTCCTGGTGTAGTCCTGGTTTAGACCTGGTTTAGACCTGGTTTAGTCCTGGTTTAGTCCTGGTTCAGTCCTGGTTCAGTCCTGGTTTAGTACTGGTTTAGTCTTGGTTAAATCCTGGTTTAGACCTGATTTAGATGTGGTTTAGACCTGGTCCAGTCCTGGTGATTGGCTCTGCAGTTTGCAGCGTGTTTATATTTATAATCCTATAAGCTAATGAAACAGTGTAGGTTTAGTCCTAGTTTAGTCTTGGTTTACTCCTGGACTAATGGGCTGACTCCAATTTATCACGGGTCCGAGCGGGTGAGGATTTGACTTTGATATAATTACAGATTAACGGCCGGGTGTGGGTATCCAAAACTGGACCCGTGCAGGACTCTGACAGGAGGGGTGACAGTTTTTCAATGTGAAGTCAACTGGAGCCAGAGTTGATGGAGCCAGAAACGCGCCCATGCTCACTTTCTATAGGAACACGGCGGATAGTGGGTTAACTATGTCCATTTATATCATTATTATTTTACAGTCTATGGGCTAAATTGACAATAAAATTAGATAAACGTAGGGCAGTGTTGTGTTGTGTTGTTGTTGTGTTTTTTACCTTGTGGTCAAACCCTGTGACATAGATGCGGTTGGGGAAGAGGGCGTCGTGTCTGGGGTTGAAGTGGGGCTCCAGACTGTCCGAGCTGCTGCTGTGGTGCTCCGATGGGGACACATCAGGAGTCGGACCCTGTGAACTGTCGACCGGAGACGCAGCATCAGATGCCACCTGACGAAAAAGAAGAAACACAAACTCAAAATATTTAAGAACGGGAGACTTGTCATTTTGTTTAGATGGTGAGTATGTTTAAAGATGCACTGTGTAACTTCTAGGGGAGGATCTGCCACTTGCTTGTCTGTTTGAAGATGTTATAGCTCTGCCTGGAATGTTACACAGTGTGGCATTAAATCTGACAGTGATAAATCTGCAGGGACAGGGGACACAGGGATCAAAACTGGGACTGTCTCGGGGAAACAGGGACGTCTGGTCACACTAAGCCAGGGGGGTCTCCAACCTGAAGTCGTGATCTGAGGGATTTCTGTCGATGCATTTTTTATTTTTTTTTGCAAACACAGTTTTGTGTATTTTGGCAAAACAATTGACAATTTATGCTCCTTTTTACTGTTCTGATTAGTCAAAAAAAATTGATTGTCCTGGTTTAGTCTTGGTTTAGACCTCATGTAGACCTGGTTTTAGTCTTAGTTTAGTCCTGGTTTAGACCTGGTTTAGTTCTGGTTTAGTCCTGGTTCAGTCCTGGTTTAGTACTGGTTTAGTCTTGGTTAAATCCTGGTTTAGACCTGATTTAGATGTGGTTTAGACCTGGTCCAGTCCTGGTGATTGGCTCTGCAGTTTGCAGCGTGTTTATATTTATAATCCTATAAGCTAATGAAACAGTGTAGGTTTAGTCCTAGTTTAGTCTTGGTTTACTCCTGGACTAATGGGCTGACTCCAATTTATCACGGGTCCGAGCGGGTGAGGATTTGACTTTGATATAATTACAGATTAACGGCCGGGTGTGGGTATCCAAAACTGGACCCGTGCAGGACTCTGACAGGAGGGGTGACAGTTTTTCAATGTGAAGTCAACTGGAGCCAGAGTTGATGGGGCCAGAAACGCGCCCATGCTCACTTTCTATAGGAACACGGCGGATAGTGGGTTAACTATGTCCATTTATATCATTATTATTTTACAGTCTATGGGCTAAATTGACAATAAAATTAGATAAACGTAGGGCAGTGTTGTGTTGTGTTGTTGTTGTGTTTTTACCTTGTGGTCAAACCCTGCGACATAGATGCGGTTGGGGAAGAGGGCGTCGTGTCTGGGGTTGAAGTGGGGCTCCAGACTGTCCGAGCTGCTGCTGTGGTGCTCCGATGGGGACACATCAGGAGTCGGACCCTGTGAACTGTCGACCGGAGACGCAGCATCAGATGCCACCTGACGAAAAAGAAGAAACACAAACTCAAAATATTTAAGAACGGGAGACTTGTCATTTTGTTTAGATGGTGAGTATGTTTAAAGATGCACTGTGTAACTTCTAGGGGAGGATCTGCCACTTGCTTGTCTGTTTGAAGATGTTATAGCTCTGCCTGGAATGTTACACAGTGTGGCATTAAATCTGACAGTGATAAATCTGCAGGGACAGGGGACACAGGGATCAAAACTGGGACTGTCTCGGGGAAACAGGGACGTCTGGTCACACTAAGCCAGGGGGGTCTCCAACCTGAAGTCGTGATCTGAGGGATTTCTGTCGATGCATTTTTTATTTTTTTTTGCAAACACAGTTTTGTGTATTTTGGCAAAACAATTGACAATTTATGCTCCTTTTTACTGTTCTGATTAGTCAAAAAAATTGATTGTCCTGGTTTAGTCTTGGTTTAGACCTCATGTAGACCTGGTTTTAGTCTTAGTTTAGTCCTGGTTTAGACCTGGTTTAGTCCTGGTTTAGTCCTGGTTCAGTCCTGGTTCAGTCCTGGTTTAGTACTGGTTTAGTCTTGGTTAAATCCTGGTTTAGACCTGATTTAGATGTGGTTTAGACCTGGTCCAGTCCTGGTGATTGGCTCTGCAGTTTGCAGCGTGTTTATATTTATAATCCTATAAGCTAATGAAACAGTGTAGGTTTAGTCCTAGTTTAGTCTTGGTTTACTCCTGGACTAATGGGCTGACTCCAATTTATCACGGGTCCGAGCGGGTGAGGATTTGACTTTGATATAATTACAGATTAACGGCCGGGTGTGGGTATCCAAAACTGGACCCGTGCAGGACTCTGACAGGAGGGGTGACAGTTTTTCAATGTGAAGTCAACTGGAGCCAGAGTTGATGGAGCCAGAAACGCGCCCATGCTCACTTTCTATAGGAACACGGCGGATAGTGGGTTAACTATGTCCATTTATATCATTATTATTTTACAGTCTATGGGCTAAATTGACAATAAAATTAGATAAACGTAGGGCAGTGTTGTGTTGTGTTGTTGTTGTGTTTTTACCTTGTGGTCAAACCCTGTGACATAGATGCGGTTGGGGAAGAGGGCGTCGTGTCTGGGGTTGAAGTGGGGCTCCAGACTGTCCGAGCTGCTGCTGTGGTGCTCCGATGGGGACACATCAGGAGTCGGACCCTGTGAACTGTCGACCGGAGACGCAGCATCAGATGCCACCTGACGAAAAAGAAGAAACACAAACTCAAAATATTTAAGAACGGGAGACTTGTCATTTTGTTTAGATGGTGAGTATGTTTAAAGATGCACTGTGTAACTTCTAGGGGAGGATCTGCCACTTGCTTGTCTGTTTGAAGATGTTATAGCTCTGCCTGGAATGTTACACAGTGTGGCATTAAATCTGACAGTGATAAATCTGCAGGGACAGGGGACACAGGGATCAAAACTGGGACTGTCTCGGGGAAACAGGGACGTCTGGTCACACTAAGCCAGGGGGGTCTCCAACCTGAAGTCGTGATCTGAGGGATTTCTGTCGATGCATTTTTTTATTTTTTTTTGCAAACACAGTTTTGTGTATTTTGGCAAAACAATTGACAATTTATGCTCCTTTTTACTGTTCTGATTAGTCAAAAAAATTGATTGTCCTGGTTTAGTCTTGGTTTAGACCTCATGTAGACCTGGTTTTAGTCTTAGTTTAGTCCTGGTTTAGACCTGGTTTAGTCCTGGTTTAGTCCTGGTTCAGTCCTGGTTTCAGTCCTGGTTTAGTACTGGTTTAGTCTTGGT